AGGATTGACATAGTAAAAAACGGCCATCCTGCCAAAACCAATCTACAGACTCAATGCAATCCCCAGAAAAATTCCAACATAGTTCTTTACAGACCTTGAAAGGACAATTCTCAACTTTATATATAAAAATCAATAACCCAAGATAGCTAAAAACAATCCTGTACCATAAAATTACTGCTGGCGGTATCATGATTCTTGATTTCAAGTTGTACTACAGAGCTACAGTAATAAAATCCACAATTTATTGGCATAAAAATGACATGTTCATTGATAGAATCAAATTGAAGACACAGACATCAATCTGCACACCTATGGACACCTGATTTTTGATAAAGAAGCTATAATACACAGTGGGGAAAAAAGACAGCATCACTAACAAATGGTGCTCATCTAACTGGATGCCTGCATGTGGATGAATACAAATAGATACATATCTATCACCCTGCACAAAATTCAAGTCCAAGAAGATCAAAGACCTCAACATAAAACTAGATACACTGAACCTGATAGAAGAGAAAATGGGGAATAGCCTTGAACTCATTGGCACACGAGATGACTTTCTGAACAGAACACCAATAGTGAAGGCACTAAGATCAACAATTAATAAATGGAACCTCATGAAACTGAAAAGCTTCTGTAAGGGAAAGGACATCGTCAATATGGAAAAACAGCAGCCCATAGAATGGGAAAAGATTTTTTTTTACCAACTACACATCCTATAGAGGAACAATATCCAAAATATATAAAGAACTCAAGAAACTAGATACCAAAAATACAAATGATCCAATTATAAAAATGGAGTATAAACAGAGAATCCCAAAGAATCCAAGTTGATATGACAGAGGGTTGCTTTCCACAAGAGGAATTTCAAATAGCTGAGAAACAAATGTTCAATATCCTTGGCCATCAAGGAAATGCAAATCAAAACTACTTTGAGAGTCCATCTTAAACCTGTCAGAATGGCTAAGATCAATAACACAAGTGACAGCTCATGTTGGTGAGGATGTGGAGCAAGGAGAACACTCCTCCATTGCTGGTGGGAGTGAAAACTTGTACATCCATTGTGGAAACTAACATGGTAGTTCCTCAAAAAATTGGGAATTGATCTACCTCAAGACCCAGCTATACCACTCCTGGGCGTATACCCAAAGGATGCTTCATCCTACCACAAGGACACTTGCTCAACTCAACTATGTTCATTGCAGCTTTACTCATAATAGTTAGAACCTGGAAACAACCTAGATATCCCTCAACTGAAGAAATGGATAAAGAAAATGTGGTACATTCACACAATGGATTATTACTCAGCTTTAAAAAATGACATAATGAAATTTGCAGGCAAATGATTAGAAATAGAAAAAAATCATCCTGTGTGAGGTAACTTAGAGCCATAAAGATAAGTATGGTTATGTATTCACTTATAAGTGGATATTGTCAATTAAGTAAATGATAACCAAGCTACAATCTGTGGATCCATAGGGGTTAGGTAAAGAGGAGGGATAGGAGAGGTGGGTGGGATGCCTGGCTCTAGCTCCTTGGGACAGGGAAACTGAATAGTTTTTTGGGGGGTGAACTGGAGGCAGGTACAGATGGAGGCAGGAGGGATCTTGTGGGAGGATGGGGTGGAATGAGACAGTTTGGGGAGAGACAGCAGGAATTGGGGGACATTGAAGAGAAATGTGATTGGAGATGTCCTTCTATATACTCTGAATATGTTTCTCTTTCTCTTATTGGTTGATGACTAAAGCTGTTTTGGCCAATGGACAGGCAGGTTGTAGCTAGGCAGGAAGTATAGGTGAGGCTACCAGACTAAGAGAATCGTGGAAAGAGAAATGCAGAGAGTGAGTCACAAGGGAGACACCATGTAGCTACCCCCAGGTAAGCCAAGATCACATGGAGATACATAGATTAATAGAAATGGATTAATAATTAAGAGAAAGTTAGCCAATAAGAAACCCGAGCCATCAGCCAAACAGTTCATAATATAAGCCTCTGTGTGTTTATTTAGGACTAAATGGCAGTGGGACCAGGCAGGACAGAAACTTCTGGTCTGCAACGGTGTGGAAACCTAGTGCAGTGGAAACTTCCTGGAATCTATGTGGATGATCCTAGTATTGGGGGGAGAGGATTCAGAGTCTCAACTGGCCACCTCTTGTAGCCAGGGAAGGCTTCCAGTGATGGGACTGGGTTGCATTTGGATGAGCCCCATGGAGATCCCCAAACAATCCAAGCTGATGCTAGGATACAAGCTGTTACTAAAAGAAAAGGAAGAACAAAGACTGTAGCTAAAGAAAAACCTCTCTGTAAATCTCCCAGGGACATTCCCTGTAGCTGGAGCACCCCACCACACAGATGGACCCTGGAAAGAACAGGTCATTTAGGACAAAAGTCATGAGCTGTTTGCTGGTCTTCCAGAGACAGTAGCTCAAATTCTTCATTCAGTCACCCCTACCCCCTGCAATATAATTAAAAAGCTGCCTGATGATCCAGGACAGAATTCCTAAGCATGTTAGACACAATGCAATTTATACTGTTATCTTAGTCGCTCTGATCCAAAAATCCAGACCTTGGGTGACTGGCTGAAATTTGGGGATCTGCTGCAGGAACCAGAAAATATTTTTACTTGTTTCCAGGGAAATAAAAGATATCTTTCACAATGTTACTGCTCACTGGCTTGTGCCTGGTCACCATAGAGGCCCATACAGTTATGCAAAGAGATTAAGTTGTTTTAATACCAATACACTATTCATCCTGTAGTCCCTAGATCAAGGAGTATTTTTGGTGTGGGACTCATCATTTAATGAATACACTTTAAGAGAAGGCACAGTGGTTGCTGCCCATAGCCTCAGCTATTCAGGAGTCTAAGGCAAGAGAATCACTTGAGCATTGGAGTTGAAAAACAGCCTGGGTAACATCACAAGACTTGCTCAAAATAAGAATACATTTCATGAGGCTACAACTGCTATTAATGGTGGTTCTCTGGAGCTTTCTGGAAAGTAGTCACTTTTCTAGATTTCCTCAAGACAATTTGTAATTCAAGGGAAGCGGTCAAGGAAGCCTTATGAGGAGCTATGGGAAGTTGATTTCAAGTCTTGTTGATGATTGAAGTGTTTGAGAGTCCCTGAAGGAAGTTACTGAAGACATGGCAGAATAGCAAGAAGGCTTGATTAGAAGAGCCTGAAAACCACACCGAGTCACTGCCTTTGGATGGTAAACAGTCACACCTGATATGAATGCCCCCCCCAATGGATAAGCAAAGGAAGCAACTTCTTAGACAGCATGTTCTCCTGATAAGGATGCTATGAACCAAGTGAAATGCTGAAGAATAGAACATAACTGACAGATGGACAGGATAGACTCCAATTTGGGAAGCAGTTTTCCAATTCGTAAAATGCTGTTGAAGAACAACACATGTTGCAGAGGGCTCTACCATGGAAAGCAGAAACGAGAGGTGGCACAAACTCCCCCATTGTTTTATTCTTTTAGATGGAAGAAGCTGAAGTGGGTATCAGTGCTGCTGTACAAGTATGAGGACATGAGTTCAGGTCCTGGCGTCCACATAAAAAGCTGGCTGTGACCTCAAGCTCCAGGTTCAGTGAGAGACCTTGTCTCAAGGGAATAAGGCAGAAAGCGATACAGCAAAACACTGGATATCTTCTTCTGGTCCCCATGCACCTGTACACACATGCACATACTGTCTGTGTCTCCTCTCTCTCTCTCTTCTCTCCTCTCTCTCTCTCTCTCTCTCTCTCTCTCACACACACACACACACACACACACTGTCTCTATGTCTCCCCCTCTCTCACACACATACTGTCTGTGTCTCCTCTCTCTCTCTCTCCTCTCTCTCTCTCACACACACACACAT